GCCCCCTTAGATCAGAATACAAGCATTAACCCAAAGTCACTGTTGTCATCATCCATAAAGGCAGAGAATTGTGATCACTGAGGCTGGGAAAGGTCCCTAAGATCAGAGCCCAGCCATTAACCCAGCACCACCATGTTCAAATCCACACACCTTCTGGGGATGAAGAACTGTCCTGCCCTGTTCCTGGAAACTCTTTCAGCAAGGAATTTTTTCCTAATTTCCAAATTAAGCCTCTCCTATCACAACCTGAGGTGGTTTCCTCTCCTCCTGCCACTTGTTGCCTGGGAGCAGAGCCTGATCCCCACCTGGTCACCATCTCTTTTCAGGCAGTTTTAGACAAAGAGAAGATTCCCCTGGGGCTCCCTTTCTTTAATCTCAACAGCTAATGAAGATCAGACAATGTTCTAATGAAACTAAATGTTCAAGGCAGCTTTTCCAGACAGTATTTTAGTCAGGAGTAAGTATTGATCATAAAGAAAGTATTTACTCTGTCCCCTTATTAATATTCATTTAAATATTACTCCTTAGCTTTGTTTTTCATATGAGTTTGCCCCACTAGAAGCAAACAGTTTTCAGATGAGATTCCCTGCAGGATAATGACCTCAAAGGCAAACTTTTCCCTTTTTTCCATCCACCAGAGCAAAAAACAACTTTTCCCCTATTATCCCTTTCTGTGGAAACTGAAGAAAGGAAGAAAAAAAAAAAAAAAGCAAGGAATAGTCAATAATACAGGGAAGAAAATAAGCCTCAAGCTTCCCAAAGCACACACTTGTGAACAAAGGCCAAGGAACAAGGATTTTAAAAGCTCTGTTTATCTACAGAGGATGGCTAAAAAGACCCCACAGTTAGAGAACCAGTGCTGAATACAAGACACTATTGGGAACTGTGTTCAAACACTTTATTCTAATCCTGTTATCTCCTCAAACTATTATTTTGGGGATAAACACTAATGTTTTATATCTGTCTTTGCTTTAACCAACCTTCAACCCCATGTCTGGTGTTAACCTTAACCAATCTCTCTCTTTTCCCCATTCCCTACCGACAACTCTTCCCTCTGACTGACACTTTACTGGGTTATGCCTCAAGGTCATTTCATCTTTTCCTGTCCCAAGCCACAACCCAGAACAGTCCATGGAAAAACAAACTCAAATCCAAAACACAAAACCTGCAAAAAACAAATGAACAAATAATTTGTGCAGGGTTTGCCATATCTTCTGGCAGTTTGCTTTTCCTTGAAGGAGGTAAGCTGGGATTTAATTTTCAGTATTATTTTCTGTAGATCAAATATTAATTAAATCTACTGACAAATATTAATTAAGTAATGCTGTCCTGTAGAACACCGAAAGCATCACCAGTGGGGTAGCATGCCTGGGCACACACTACTGACAGAAATTTAGATATTATCCAGTTTAATAAATCTTCCTTATGCTTATTTAGAGCAAGACCTTCCATAATCACGTTATGGGTTTTATCTAATTTAAAAAAAACACAACAAACCACCAAAACCTTTCAATTCCATATAGACATCTTCCATTCAGTGTGATCAAAGTTTGCAACTTATTAATTATTTTGTAAGAGTTTTCCTGATGCCTGAGCTCATGCTAGACCATCCTAGCCATGCTTTTGCTCTGATGCAAAGCTGAGAGCAGTCAAGAAACAAGACAGACAAGGGCAGCTTTGCAAATGAACTTTTGTTGATTAAAGTGGAAGAGAAGCCTGGTCCTTCTCAAATCCTCCTCATTTTCATCTCTAAATAAGAATCTCGTGGCAGCTTGTGCTTGAATTGAAGGCCAGCAGTCACTCAGAACCAAAAAAAACCCAAAACTATAAAAATACAGTCTTTATGTGAAAAGAGCCTGGGCAGAGTTTCAGTCCAAGGGATATTGACTTCCCCTCTTTTAGAAGGTTGCAGCCACCTTCTGTTCATTGTTACACTGATTTCTAGAGATTTAAATAAGTAAATGCCTCTCCAGTACAGGTGATATTCTCTACTCTTACTTGTGCAATCAATTTTGTTACCTTTATTTGTGGCCTTAATAAAGACAGCACAACACCAGACAGTGCATTAAAACTGGGCTGCTCCAATCACCTGCTGGTTGCATACAAATGTGTAGGAGTTTGGTACTTCCCTTTTGCAGGAAAAAGTAAAGACAAACAATAAAACAACCAAAAAATTCACATTAAAAAAAGCAGCAGCACTCATCCCCCAACTATTTTACAACCCCTCAATTTTCCCTGATGTCATTCATGAGGTACTCTCAGGAAAATCAAGGCAGCAGAGCCGTTTTCTCAGTTCAGCACATTTTTGAAAATCTTCACCGTGAAAGTTTTGTGTAATTACCCTCAAAATGGTGTTTTGAAGGAGTTCCACGACGCATGGAAATTGGAATAATGAGTTGCATTTTCTTGTCTATCATTTCAGTTGGCATTTGGTGAAATTGTACATCTTTAGCTATTAAGTTTCTCCCTTCCTCCTGGTCCACGCTTAGACCAAGATCATTACAATTTCTCCTACCCAGTGCCCTAAACAAAACATAAATGCCATCACCATCAATCTCAACAAGGCCTGTATGACAGCTAACATTAACAGAATGACCTTCTCCAGTTAGATTTTCATTAGTAAAATAGGATGGAAAACAGAAAGTGCCTCAGCTTTGCCAATTTGAACAAATTATCCACGTCATCCTTCTCAGAGTCAGTCGATACCTGAACTGGGCAGGAAACTCAGCAATCTGGGACACAGGACAAGACAATATTGAGCACAAAGCCAACTCTTTTTTTTTTAATCTTAACTCCTCAATTAAGCCAAACCCAGCCTTTTTTACAGGTAAGGAAGAGAGGTTTGCAGGTTTGGCTGCAGCAGAGAGTGTGACTGCAAAGTGACAACACATCAGCTCCAGAGCAATTCTGAGCACAACACATTTCCATCTGCAAATGCAGTCCCAGGCCAGGCCTACAGTGACTTCTGGTGAGGTCAGAGAATTTAACCAGACTAGGAAAGGAGAAGAAAGCCAGAAGGTGAGCAGCAGAATACGTGCCAGCTTCCCAAACCGCTCAGGACATCATCCACGTCACCTGAAGCTTTCCACACAGCTGCTGCAAAGACTTAAACATCTGTGTTCCACCAAAGGACAGGTGCTGGATCAAGCAAACACCTCCATGACAGGGCCTCGTGCTCAGATTTATTTATTTTTAACCAAACATTCTCAAAGGGGCACTAAACATTCACTAATTTACAATCTTCACAATAAATGTGCCACCCAAAACACAGCCAGCCTGCCAGGCTTCCTCTCTTGTAGAAAAAGGGGATTTTGCTGGAAATGTTCCTGCCACTAACATTGCACTGCTCAATCTCATCCTAGGATGGTTTTGGGTGTTCTGGATGCCTTCTTCCCACTTCAGATTTGCTGTTTGATCAGAAAGAGTAACAGGAAACAGAACATTCTTAAAAGGTTTTCATTTCTTAAATCCACATGTTCTAAACCACTGATTTGTGGGGAGGGAAGGAAGGTGTGCAGGAAAAGGAGAGAAGCCTTTTAGTCCCTGTTCTTTGTTCGCACCATAGTAAGGACCTTGCAAAAATTACAAAAATGCAAGAAATTGAAGTTCTGTGGTGGAAAAAAACCTGTGAGGAAGAAAAGTGCTTTGCTCATCCCCTTGCCAGGCACAGGGCTTGATTTCCCTTAATGGCTAATGATTAATGTATGACAACAGGATGAATAGCCAATATATCTGAAACATGAGCAACATCATCCGTCAGTTTTTCACAGGAAGTCCAATATGACTTAGCAAGAAAGATGGACTACTTCTGCCCCTGGATCAGCACTGATCCATTCCAACATGAACGAGAAAAGATAAGAGCTGCAAGTGTTTGAACACAGTCCTTTGCCAGAAATGAGGGCAGAAATGGAACACAAAAACGTATTTAAAAAAATTACTATTAAAATTAAATAAACTATTTATAAATTATTAAATTAAATTATAATAATAAAAAAATATTATTTTTAGAATTTCCTCCTTCACCACAGAGCACTCAAACTGATATCAGAGTCAATTTGTTAATATTCACTGCAGATCCACTATCCAAGAACAATATAAATTTTGTTCTCTACTTAGAAATGAAAATGCTATCACAGCCTGGTCTGAAGAACAATTTCCTTGCTGCAGGACTGTTGGGAAAAAAAAAAGGTTCTTTGCCTATTCCAACAGAAAGCAGCCTCACTCTGTGGCAAGACTTCGTCAGATAAACCACAAGCATGAAAGCAACAGTTCTTAAACACCTGCCTGCGGAACAAAACCAAGTATTCCAGGATGTGTCCAAATTCCCAGTATCAGCTCAGAGCCCTGCTGAAGCACCTGTAGGGCACAGGCACAGGCATTCCCAGGCTTTTCCCTGGGGAAGGCTGCGAGAAGCTGTGAGAAAGCCCAGAGAAAGAATTAAAACCATTCTGATCTCCACTTGCTGCACCTGTTGCCAGGCACATGTGGAACGTTTTATGGAGATTTGTTTAGCAAAGGGTGCTGGTGTTTTGGTTGGTTGAGCAATGAGGCCAAAGCTGTATCAGGCTGGATGGGGTTACGGGTTTCTAAAGAATATAGTAATAATATAGTATAGAAGAATAAAGCAATGGTTCAGCCTTCTGCATCTTGGAGTCCACAATTCACCCACATGTTTACCCATTTTCAAAAGACTCTTTACAACAGCTCTTCCTCCAATTCAGAGAACACACTTGGGAATTCCTACCATGACATAGTGCACATTTTTCTCAAACCTCTTTTCTACAGCAAGATGGCAACACCCTTTCTGCATCCTCTGTAAATACTCTTTATATGCCTACATTGATGAACTTGCAGTGTCACCAATTTGCCATTTGCAGTGTCACCAATGGCAGGCTCAGCCATTGCACCCTTATTTCCCTGCATGCACAACCAGAGGCGTTCCTCCCCATGTCTCAAACAAGAGAAGGCTAATTACACCCTGCATTGACAGAGCATCTCACCTGCACACTTGGTCCTGGTGGTCAGGGGGGGCCCGGGTGGTCCCGTGCCCCCTTCCCCGGGGCGCGTCAGCAGCACGCGGATCTCGTACTCCACGTCGGGGTCCAGGTGCCACAGCTTGTAGTTGGGGGAGTCCACGATGTGGGTCTCTGCCCAGTTGCCCGTGGTGGTCCTGTACTCCACCTCCTTGAGGATGATGGGCCCGTCCCCGATGATGGAGTTGGCGTTGGGTTTGATCCACAGGTACGTGGCTCCCACGGCCAGCAGCTCCGGGGGCGCGATCGGGGTGGGAGGCTCTGGGGACAGGAACAAACCACAAGGAGTCAGAAAACATCCAAATTCCCATCCCAACAACCTTTTGTAACCTCTCACTTACCAAATATTTTATAAGAATTTAATCTGTTACTGGAAAGAATTGGGCTTGTGTCATCGTCATATTTTCTGAAAAATCCCTTTGCCCAGGATTTTTCTCCTGGGAAGCTGAGAAGCCTCAGAAAAAAATGAAAACAATAATTATCTGATTTGCTTCTCCTGTGTTTTGCTGCTTTGGAATGTGTTTGGACATTGTTTACCAACAGATGATTGTTTCACTGGTTTCTGCTGTGAAATGGTTTGACTTAATGACCAATCATGGTCAAGCTGTGTCAGATTGGGGAGGAGAGAGCCACAAGTTTTCTTTATTATCTTTCAGCCTTCTGTAAGTATCCTTTCTCTATTATTTAGTATAGTTTAGTATAGTATTCTTTAATATAATACAGATCATAAAATAATAAATTAGCCTTCTAAGAACATGGAGTCAGATTCATCATTTACTCTCTACGACAGAGGTCTCACAAAATACCACAGGCTTTGGGTTTTTTGTGCTTAAATTTCAGCCCCCTTGCACTGGGGGTTGTATTCCCAATTAAGAAACACCTGTGAAAATACAGGAACCACAAAACAGCTTTCTGGTTTAAAAGTGCCTTCATAAACCTCATAAACATTTATAAACCTCATCATGAGGTTTATACTTGCTCCCTCTTTTAAGCATGTGAATAACATCACTCAACATCTTGGAGAGTGAGGGAAAGAAACCCTAAATATAGACAACTGAGTGCCCTTAGCACAAACCATGAATCAAAGTGTTCCAGCACAGCCCTTCCTCTGCCCTGTGTCCTGACACAGCAGAATATTCCAGTCACTGATCGTGGTGCTGTGGTTCAGCCAAATTCTAATGCTTAACATGACACAATTAGCAACAAGAGGAAAACTCAAATCACTTGTTCATTTTCTGATCCTAACCCCCCAAAAATAGAGAAAAACAAGAGGATGTTGATTTTCTAATCAAAGCACTGGCTGAGACAACATTAGCAAATTTAAACACCAGTGACCTTCCCAGGCCCAGCAGCCAGGATGCTGTTGGAACTGGCTCTGAGTGGGGCTCTTGGTAGAGCAGAATAAAGAAAACTCCAAGGCAACAGTGAATCAACACCTCCTGTGGTGTTTGATTGCAAAGTTTGCTCAACTGCCTGGGCAAAGGTACTCAAGAAAGCCTGCATGACACCTGAGGAGTGCCTGGGTGTTTGAGAAGCAGTATAAGGAGGCAGGGACCAGCTACTGAGTACCACCTCTGTGAGAAAAAGCAAAGCAAGCTGATAAAAGACATCTCAGCAGCTCTCTTTGATGGAAGCTACCAAGAAAAAAGAAAGAAAAAAAGCTACAGAGCTCTGGCTGCCTGGCTGATTTTTATTATTCTTTTTCCCCTCTCTGTCAGTGTAAATAACACTTTCATTCTGGAAACCACATGAACAGCATACACCTTGTGGCTTTGAAAACCTGAGCTGAACTCTGCAAGATTCTGAGCAATTGCCTGAATCTCACCCAGCCTTCCCTCTGCCACACTCTAATGCAGTCTGCCCTCAGCCCAGAGGACACAAACTCTATTCTCTTGTGAAAATCAGGTGATAAAGAATATTTTTATCTAGAGGGACTTAAAACACTGGCACAGGGTGCCCAGAGCAGCTGTGGCTGCCCCTGGATCCCTGGCAGTGCCCAAGGCCAGGCTGAACAGGGCTGGGAGCACCTGGGACAGTGGAAGGTGTCCCTGCCATGGCAGGGGTGGAATTGGATGAGCTTTGAGGTCCCTTCCAACCCAAACCATCCTGTGATGTCTGTCTCAGAAAAACAAACACATAAATGTTACAACACAAGAAATTTGGAGTTCAGTGGGAGTCATTCTGAACCCTTCTCTCCTAAAGGTAATTCCTCAAAGAACTGGAAGAATCCAGGACCCAAGGAGAAATGGAAGAAAGGACTTTGAGTGCCACATGATGGGAGGAAGATTGGATTTTCCCCTCAGGATAATTCTTGCAGGTTAAGATCTGCTCAGTGAAGAGAAAGAAACTGTTGTACAAAAGGATCAACTGAAATTATGCTTGATTTCCTTTCCTTTAACTGTTTACAACAAATCATTCCCTCTCCTTCAGACTGGCTGCAGGAGCTGTGTGTTGTACCTCTGGAGAAAAAAACAATCTGAATTATAATTGCAGCAGGTATCCAACATGAACAAAAATCAGTGATGCCAGATATGTTTTCTGTGGAATGGCTGTCTCTGCTTTAATTCTGCACTATTCCACAACTCCTGCCAGAATCTTTTTCTGATATGAAATGCCAGGCTGATTATGTTTTGACTTACAAAGTTATTTCTCCAGGAAAATTGTTTTCAAGAAACATGTGTGGATACATTTTCATTAAAAATCAAATTAATATAGATCACGAGCAGTTTATTACTTGTTTCTTGGTGCAAGGCAATTAAAAGAGAGATTTGGTTCTTTTTTATTCCCAATGCAAAAGCTACATCTTACAAGTCACATCATATCTGAACACAAGACAAATGAAATATTAAACTCCATTCTCCTGGGCTGCAGATTTCAATAGCAACATGATACAGGTTACTTTGGGATTTCATGGCAACTTAGAAGAGATTTATGGGATTGAGCTTAATTAATAGAGCAGTTTATCGTACTAGGCAGACATGAAGATCTCATCTAGTGAGTTCAGTAACCACTGTTGCCAAACTGATTTAAATTGTGATGTCACCCAGCACGCCCATCTTCCTTACTTTTGTCCCAATCCAAATCATCCCCACCAAGAAAAAAGAAAAAAAATTATGGTAGTGTCCCTTCTTTCCCCCATTTCTTTTCCCCTTTCTCTACCACTGGAAACACAGGTGCAGTAAAATGTAATAAAAGCAGGAATTAAACTTTTGCTCCTGTTTTCTGAATTTAAGAAACTAAAATAAGCAGCTGTTCCAGTAGTTTTTAAAGAATCAGTCCCACCTCACTGAAAATAATTAATTATTTCCTACTAGCCCCAACTGGAGCAAAAGCTTTTACTTTTTAAATATCACCCTGTGCCAAATTACTGCAAGTGATCTAAACAAGTTCCCCATTATTTAGCAAAACTGGCACATAAATGAGAACATTTTTTTCTCTGTGTTACAAAACCCACTTGCCAGTTACAGATGACCAGCCTGATGTTATGAGCTCGCTATTTTAATTAAAATCTCTGTTTGACCTTGATTAAACAAACATGCTGACAGATTGGCCTTGTACACATGTAATTGTGAACAACCATATTTTAAGCCCCATTTCATCCCAACAGTGTTTTATATCACAAGGTTGCATGGCCTGGCGCTCCCTTTCAGCCACTCTCCCACCTCCTCCAGACAGAGAGGAGGAAACCAAAGGCTCCCCAACAACCAGCACATCTGGAACTGGATTTCTGATCCTGGGATATCCAGCTGAACCCCAGACTTGGGAATGACATGGAAAAATTCGTTTATGGGTGCTCATTAAAAAAAAAAAACAAACAAAACACGCAAAAAAAACCGCAACCAAAAAACAAAGCCACCCCAAAAAGCCACCCCAGCTCAGGCTCAAAAAAAGGGGGGAGTTTTTGACAATGGGCATATTTTATTGAAGCTAAAACCAATTCCAGTTGTGCAGACACAAAGGGAATTGGGGTGTGCCTTTCTCCTCCTGTTAGAACAGAAAATTCTGCTCCTGTCTGCAGCCCAGGAGGCTGAACACTGTTAGAGCTTGTTAAAATGAGATGAATTTTAGTAATGCAAAGAGTGTGAGAAAACAAAATTAACATAAAGGACCAGAACAGACCAAATAGAATCACAGAGGATCTCAAGCCCCACAAGGATCAAGTCCAAATCTGTTCCTTGCAGGACCACCTAAAATTCCATCATCCCTAGTGACAGGACAAGGGGTGATGGCTTCAAACTAACAGAGGACAGGAACAGATTGGATATTGGAAATTCCTCCCTGTGAAGGTGGGCAGGCCCTGGCACAGGGTGCCCAGAGCAGCTGTGGCTGCCCCTGGATCCCTGGCAGTGCCCAAGGCCAGGCTGGACAGGGCTCTGGGACAGTGGAAGGTGTCCCTGCCATGGCAGGGTGTGGAATGAGGTGAATTTTAAGGTCCCTTCCAACCCAAACCATTCTGGTATTCTACAGTGACAAAGGGCATCACCCAGACGCCTCCTCAACTCTTACACTCGTAGTTCCATTAACACACTACTTTCCAACTGTTGTGGAAAAAAACCTATTTTACTCTTTGGCAAATATCCCTGAATGTTTCTACTCTACTGCTGGAATATTTCTCTACTTGGCTTTCTAAGCAAGGCAATTCTAAGCAATTTTTTACATGATGGAAGAATAACTGGCTTCATGAATGCTTAAGATGCCACTGGGAAGACTGAAAAACTAGAGAAAAATCCTTAACAACTGTTACCACTTTCTCCCGTGAAATAATCCATAAAGAAAGACATTACAGAAAATGCAATCTTAAAACAGCTGGATACACCTCCTAAAGTATGAATTTTATATGTTTATTTTTAATATTTTCTCCCTTTTTCATAACAAAATCATCTGATAAAGTGTACAGACAAGGTGACCATAAACTCTCATTGGCATGGGATGGGCTGTGGCTGTTTTAGACAAAAAGAACTCTTAATGTCACAAAACTCTGGTGTATCAGCAAGTGCAGCAATTCCATGTTTTGCTTTCTCACATGCACAGGACAGAGCACAGGCTGTAAAAATAAGATCAGAAGAGACACAGTGGTTCTTATTCTTTGAGGGTTGAAAAGGTGAGGATGGGAGCTGCTGCTCAAAGACCTTTCCCTGACAAGCAGGATTTGTGTTTTCCAACATGATCCTGATCATGCCCCTACTCATGGGAATTATAAAAGCTTTTCTCACCACATCCTAAACAAGCAGCTATGGAGTGTGCTTGTCAAAATGATCAGG